ATACACACGTTAATGCTGTTACTTATTCTACGCGAAACTCATTGTTTTGTTTTCCTTTAATTTGAATACAGTCAAATGTATATTATATTTCAACAAGCTTAATAGAAATTCAAATTTAAGAGCCTGTTCTATCATAAGGGTCTGAGCATAAGAATAACATTTACTTAGAGACTCTTAAGTTGTAGATGTAAGTAACGCAGAAGCTTTAGCGTATGACATACGATTTATTGCTGTCTTTTGAAGACACGGTAATAAGTTGTACGTCGTAAAAGCTTGTGCATTACTTACGTCTACAATTTAAGTCTAAGGCTGTGTTCCGTTTCACACATGATGCGTGAATGCAACCTAAGTAAGTGTTATGACAATTCTTGTGTTCAGACCCTAAGGGTGAAATCACATAGTGCGGAAAACGACTGCAGAATAGAGAAGGCATTATAGAAGCAATCAATCAGCGTTATTCTGCATTATTTCAAATAGCGCTGATTGGTTGCTTCTATGACGCATTCTCTACTCCGCAGTTGTTTTCCGCACAGTGTGATTTCACTCTAACTCTACTGTGTACACTTCATAACACGGGTGATGAATTATGTGACCTAAGAACATTAAAAGGTGCCGTTCGGTGTCTCTACTGGGTGATTATACTGTCCCCAGGGCTCTATTTTCGAAAAGTATTACAAAAAACTAGGAAAATGCTATAGTATATGTAACGCATACTATAGTATTTCTCTAATTTTTTGTATAATAGAGACTCAGGCTTTGCACTTCGATCCGAATCCTAATATTTTTTTCGTGTTATTGCTTATTTCCTATACATATACCTTTAAGGCTTAAACACAATAGGCACAGGCAATAGGCACAAGCTAGAGTCCTAGATATAACAGAAAAGCGCTAGACTGCTGTCCCGATTTCTAATTGATTTTGCATTATGCACATTTTTTTCTACGGATAGTCACGTGAATCTTCTAATTTCGGTAAGTATCATTATTGTTAAATCTTGGTATGTATACCGTAGTCTCCAAAGAGAATCAGTATTTTTTTGTAGTCAGTAGAAACACTACTGTTATAGGAATCGCACTCCGTTTGCGGAATAACAGATGTAAATACATATCGCCATTTTTTCTTTGAACAATTTAATTATAATTTATAAATATGTTCAGTGCTTCTCTGTTATATCTAGAATTTTAGCATAGGCAACAGGGAATAACAAGCCATTCAATCAGGGCTCTGATGTGTAAGTCTTTGGTAGTTCGATATTATATCCCAGAACTCTGATTGAACAGTTCGTTATTCTCTGTTGCCTGCGCCTATTGCCTGTGCCTATTGTGTTTAAACCTTTACTTATGGATCTAACCATAATGTAAGAAGACAAGATTCCCGAGGATGCGCAGTAAGAGAGTGATTTGTGGTCCAAATTTAATTGGCTATTTCAATATGCCAGCACTATTATACGCAGAAAAATGCATTAAAATCAAAATTTAATTGATTGTTTCCAGTATTGCTATCACCATTATACGCAGTAATACATCTTGTATTCTTACATCGGTTGCTTTCCATTTGATGATTCAAGTCAACACAAGTGTTATTCTATCTTTGTCACTCTCTGAATGTCAAGAAAGATAGAACGACACTTGTGTCATCAAATGGAAAACATCCATCATGGATTTAACTATTTACATTTAACTGCTCTTTGAGCAAGGCTGAATTCCGAAACCCATCGAAAAAAAGTTGCTTTTTGTGACCTCTGCTATACGGCACGCTTAATCAGGTTTAACGACATCTGTAGTTATGAAACTGGCCAATCACAATCGTTACATTTTTCTAAGGAACAGCTATGATTGGCCAATTTTATAACTATGGATGTTATTAAGCGTGCTGTGTAGCAGAAGTCTGTGACCGACTGTACACTCACGGACAGAAATGCCTTTATACATTCAATATGGATGCGTTTTGAAACACAATCAAAACACATACAAAAGGTGCATTCGTTTACGCAACAGTTAGCGCAGAAAATATTATTTAATCCTTATTTAACACTCGATGAACAACAAAGATAAAGTTCTACGCTAACCGTTGCGTAAACGAGTGCAGGGTTTTGACTGTGTTTCAAAACGCATCCATATTGAATGTATAAAGGCATTTCTGTCCGCGAGTGTACAGTCGGTCACAGACCTCTGCTACACAGCATGTGTTGAATATAAAGGCATTCTGTCCGCCAGTGTATGTACATACATACAATTAGCAACTAAAAGATTGCAACACATTTTTTTCAATAAGTTTTGGAATGCAGCCTGTTCATCGAGCAATTAGTTATTATTTATGAATCCATAAATAAAAACCAATCGCTTGATGAATAGGCTACATTTCAAAACTTTAAAAAAGTGTTGCAATCTTTTAGTTGCTAACTGTGGGTGCTTTCCAATTGCTTAACACTTCTAACATAAACGTACACAGGAATGCACAAAGTGTACCACTGTGTACGATTCAATTGGAACAGAATGTGTGCGCTGTGCATGGTTGAGATTCGTTTCGGATAGAGTTAGATTAAATGTAGCTTTTCCGCCTGTATTAAATAAAAAAAAGTATAAGTGCCGGCCACTCAATGTCTTCAAATCTCATTTATAGCCGCCGTAGTTAGTAACATGTAATTGTCACTAGAAAACAAACTTATACAGCCCTCGACTGAGTACAGATGTGTAGCGTTGTGTCAACGATAATGGACAATTGGAATGCAACTTGTGTCGCCGTGTGCTCAAAAGTGTTTAGGGATATTGCAATTGGAAAGCACCCTGTATGTACAGAGTGCAATTACATAGAGCGCGGTATGTGATTTCCTAGTTGCCTAGTTAGTTACTATTAGTTACTGTACCGCGTATTGCGTACCGCTCCATGTAATCGCACCCTCACCGACTAATGGCTTTTGCATACCAGCGCGATGCGCGACATCCAGGATTCCTATTCTTGAAAAGTTTTGCATACAAAAAACTAGGGAAATATTATAGTATGCGTTAGACTATAGCATTGCCCTAGTTTTTTGTACTTTTATTTTATAAGAATAGGAGCCCTGGTTGTCTTCACTTAAGTGCATCTATGTATCATTTTATTCTTGTTCACCGAATGTTAAACGAGAATAAATAATACATGGGTGCACCCGGATAAATTTCCGAACGCAGTCTAATAAGCATATATATAATTTTTCCAGTAGAAGTTGTAAGATGTTTGTATATATTAAGGTTATAATATATAAGATCACATTTTTCAATTATTTCTGCTTTTTCTGTAGTCATGCGCAGCTCGACTCATTCGCTTGTCGCGTACGAGAAATGTTCAACTTCGTCTAACTTTTGCTGCGACGTCGCGATACTTGGAAAAATTATATATGTGCTTATTGGACTGTGTTCGGAAATTTATTCGGATGCACTCATGTATTATTTATCCTCGTTTAACATTTGGTGAACAACAAGGATAAAATGATACATAAATAGAATGATGCACTCGAGTGATATCGCTCGTTGCGTATTGCGTGTCGCGCATCGCGCTGGTGTGCAAGAGCCATAAAAGGTTGTAATATTTTTTTTTTAATGGTTTTGCAGTGTGCAGAATGCAGTCTGCTCATCAAGCAAGTAGTTCTTATTTATAGATTTGTAAGTAAAAATAGTTGCTCGGTGAATAGGCTGTATTCCAAAAACCATAAAAAAAAATCTGTTGCAACCTTTTAGTTGGTGAGTGTACATATCGAAAGAATAACTTATTGCGTTCCATTTTGAATCGATTTAAAAAATATATCTGCTTTCACAAAGATCTTTGCACACTGAAATTTGCTGACAAATGTTTAAACTTCACTAAATTTGCAACTGGAGCCATCTAATGTAAGTGGCGGAAAATAGTTTTATTACCTAGGTGAGAGGCGGAAATTAAGTTTATCAACTAATATATATGTATACATATATAAACATACATATGTGTGTGTATGTGTGTGTGTGTTTGCCTGTGTGTACATACATTCATATAAATACACCCAAGGACTTCGATTTTTTTCCCTCAGTTATTTTTTTAAACGTACAGACTATGAGCATTTTAATGTAGAAAAGTAGTTATTTCTCAGTTTGTGAAAATTTCCGAGGGAAAGAATCGAAGTCCTTGAGTGTACATATACATTAAATATTTAAGTGTTAAATTAGTTAATTTTTGTGCCATTTAATTCTTATTTATTTTGTATCTTATTTAATTTATCATGATTTAAAAAATTATTAACTTACAATTTAATTTTAATAAAATGATGCATTTGTTTATGTGTATATAATATATATTTATGTATACATATTATATTATGTACTACATATATTATATATATTACATACAATATATGTATATATGTGTCCATATTTCAAAAATATATTTACATGAATTGAAAACAATATTCGTTGTTAGAATCTTTAGTCTATACCCTAATAGTAAAACGTCATGGTGAATTCGATCACTCGCACTATACTAAATCAGTGCATAGCATTAAAAGCTGCTTTATATAAAATATCTTAATGCAGTGATATAATATAATCAATTTTGGCAATAAAATGATACACATATATATAATGATACACATATATTTTGTTAAATAATGTGTCGTTAAAAATTTTTATATACTTTTATATTTAACTTTACTAATGTCATATAAAACAGCTATGGTATGCACTAATTTAGTGTAGTGTAAGTGACTGAATTAGCAATTTGCTCGCAAATTAATAATAAACTCGATCAAATTTTGATTACAAAACCATCTGTATTCGCATTTGACTATGGATTTATTGACATGTTTTGCCAGCAGTTTGCTGATAAAAACCGAGCAAAGTCTGCTGATATAATCTGATAGCAAATTACGAGAAAGCAGATACCGAGCAGAGTCTGCTGACTTTAATGGCAAATTGACAGCAAATACCGAGCAAGATCTCATTTTTATCTAAATTGACCTAGTTTATATATTGTTTATACATACTGGTGTGAAAACTCGAAACAACCACAAACAACAAATGTGGAAATACAATTTTATTACTAAAATATTATTGATTAGTTTCACATTTCAAAAATACACATGAGAAAGTTACAAAATAGTCAAACAAATATTCGGAGATTCAGAAAGCACACTCCGAAGGAGCTTGAGAATCTCTAGGTTTACTTATTCGATTTATGCCAATTCTTAGGATTCCAGAGCGATTTTTTCTTATGAGAAGCAAGTCCATGGCGATGCCGTAAATGAAAATAACAGGTCGCTTGGTTTTGCTGCCAATTTGCCATCAGGTTATGTCAGTAGGCTCTGTTCGGTTTCTATCACCAATTTCCTGGCATAGCATGTTAGCAGATTTTATTATATTTTTCATAGCAATTTGCTGACAATGGGCGAGTTCAAGACGGCAAAGCGGCTAAGCATGCTTACCAAGCGATTGAATATGATTGGTTGGATTTATAAATAAAATCAATTATGCTCATTTGCTCGGCAAGTAAGCTAGCCGTTTTGTCAACTTGAATGCGCCCAATATCTGGTACAAACTCTGTGCATAATTTGTTGCCTTTCTGCAATCAGAAATTGGTAGCAGGCTCTGTTCAAAATCTGTTTCCACAGACTTTGCTATCAGAGAAATTTTGGACATACGTAACATATAAACGGTTACATATAATTATACATAATTATATATTTATATATATTGCTGTGAAAACTGAAAACAATTAATACAGTTTTAAAATATTATTGATTAGCTTCACATTTTAAAATGCACACATGAGGAAGTTATAAAATAGTTAATAAAATATTCGGAGATTTTCAGGAACACACTCCGAAGGAGCTTGGGAATCTCTAAAAGATTTGTCTATTCGATTTACATATGTCAATTCTTATAAGATTCCTAGGTATTTTCTTCTTACAAGAAGTCTCGTGGCAGAGTCGTATATGAAAATGAGAGAACTTGTTCGGTTCCTGCTGCCAATCTGCCATCAGATTATATTAGCAGGCTCTGCTCAGTTTCTGCTCGCAATAGTCGCAATCTGTTGTCAGGTTATGCAGCAGACTCTGATTCGGTTTTTGTCACCAATTTGCTGGCATAATATATCAGCAGGCTTTGCTATATTTTTTACAGCAGTTTGCTGATATTGTCTGATAGTGTACAATTTGTTGTCTTTTTGCAATCAAAAATTAGTAGCAGGCTCTCAAAATCTGTCTCCGTAGGCTTTATTATAAGCTTTTCTACAGCAACCATAATTCTTTTGGCTATGAATTTATTAACTAATGGCTTCAAATGTTGCAGTTGAATTTTTTGTTGAATTTTCTTTCCACATTGTTACAATTTATAATTTTATTTTATTAGCTTCCGGCATCTCAATTCCATTTCCAGGAATGCCTTCATATTAGGATCTTTTACCTTATCAAAGATAGCTTTTTGCAAATCTATATTGGATTTTTCTATCATGTTACTCAATCTTTCTGCATATTTAATCCATACACAATTCGTGCATCCTGACATACAGCAATTAATCGGTTCCGTCAAATCATCCACTAAATCTTCTTTTGCATGATCAGTCCGAACTTCGTCATCTTTTTGGATCGATGAATGTCGTCGATAATAACAGAAACTTTTATTAATGATTAGCCTTGATCGAAGTATGGAACTCATTTGTTTTGATTCTGTCCAAGATACATGTGGTGCAGAATAGTTATTTTTATAATTAATATTATATTCATAGAAAAAGAATAAATATCACAATGAAAAATAACTATTTTGTTCTTTTTGCAAATGATATTTGAAATAAATTCAAGAAAATCTTATCTAATCTATTGTGAAACAGTAATATTTAAACCCTAGACACAACGTGAGGCAACAGTGATAAGAATAGAAATAACATAGATATAAGCGGTATATATTTGTCGCCTTCTGTTGCACATTGGCTGCGTTCAGCGAATTCAACAATTGAGTGAGCGCTCGCTGTTATTGATATATTCTTCCAGATCTAAAATGTTGATTGGATGATCTAAAAGAATACATCAATAACAGCTCACTCAACTGTTGAGTCTGCTGAACGCAGCCAATGTCGCGAAAGAAATAAAAATGTCAATCAATCTAGGCCGCGGTCCAATTCACAACGCTTAAAAATTATTTTATTTTTGTTGTTTGTCAATTGTTAAACGAAGACAAACGATGCTCATGAGTGTTGTCAGCATGAATTAGACCACGGCCCTGATCTCGTATATAAACTGTAGTATATTCTAGAGTTACTCTAGTAAGTCGAGACATAAGGGTGCCTACGCATGCAGCAAAATAACGGAACGCTTATGATTGGTGCCGCCATGTTTCAGTTTATTAATGTGTTAATAAATGTAAGTGAATAGGTGAAAGCAATTTTTATAAGTGTAGTACATTCACTCAGGTGTAGTGTACTACGTTTGTCAAGGTGACGCCAAAGCGAACGTTTTTTCGCTTTGGGCTGAGTTAATTATCTTAAATAATTACCGCTGGTCTAATTTTGGCCGTATTGATCTTTTTCTTATTTTTCCGAAGGCAGGGCCTTTATTCTTTAAAAGTATCGCATACAAAAAATTAGGAAAATACTATAGTACGTTGCATATACTACAGCACTTCCCTAATTTTTTGTATGCGATACTTTTCAAGAATAGGGTCCCTAGTGTCATTTATTTAAAAAAAAACAAAACCTATTCTACAATAGTCGTAAGCGTAGTTGTAAGTGATTGTAGTTATAAGAACTGACCAATCAAATGGAGAATATTTGACTGTGATTGATCAATTTTTATAACTACAACTACTTACAACTACGCTTATGACTATTATAGAATAGGTTTTATGCGTGATCTACAATAGCAGTAGTGGATGAGTAACAAATATAATAATAAGAGTAACAAATTGATCAATCACACTTGAATGAAAGAAGAATAATCGATTGGTCAATTTCTTACATTTACAGCCTCATCCAATACTGATACTATCATTGTAGACCACGCATTAAAGAGCGTTTATATTGGCCGTAATTGTATGTCGTATGCTGTAATCTATAAAAATTGACTCACTTTTGAGTATTCCCTTCTTATTTCACCGAATAAGAGGGGAATACTTGACTGTGATTAGTCAATTCTTATAGATTATGGCATACGTTATATAAATGCTTCCTAAAGAATTATTTTTTTAGCCGTTTCTGATAAGACTGAAACATGGTGTCCTTCCAGTTTTGTGTCTCGACTCATACTAAAGTAACTCTAGTACATTCTTCCATCTGTTTCGGTTATAGCATATATAGGTCCTGCGCACAATAGCAGGAATAAGAAATTAGTAATAAGAAATAATGATTTCAATCTATCAGAAATCATGTATTCCGATGTATCCGATTTCTGATAGGTTAAAATCTTTTTCATTATTTTTTATTCTAATTCCTTATTCCTCATTCCTTTTATTGTGTACAAGGTCGTAAACAGAATAAAAAATCTATTTAAAGGTTGAGAATACTCCGATCATTTCAAATTTTGATAAAAATAGACTCAAACGATTCGTTTTCGCGTAAAAATAAAGATTCCCCAAGAAAAAAGCGTCGATTTGTTCTACGAACCAAGATTATTAGGCGTTAAAGTTAATGACTGTTGAGGTTAGGAAATCTGTCACAGCCATGAAATACTGTGATGCAAGCATGCGCTGCGGTCTCAAATGTGCTACTTTAAAACAAGTACTTTGCTCTAAAACACAAATTCATTTTAAAACAAATCCTCTGCTTTAAAAACAAATTCACTACTTCATAAACAAATTTATTGCTTTATAAAGACAAATTTACTACTTTAAAAATACAAGTTATTTTTTTATATTATTTTTGATAATTATTCAGTTTAACCCACGCACCTCCAAAATCCAATGAAGTTAGATTTATTCGATGCGTTTTTGCATGAAATGAAAGAATCTGTAAAAAAAGTATCACTCTGCCTCACAAATCAAGATATTAAGCGTTAAAGTTGACAATTATTGAGGTTAAGAAATCTCAATAGTTACAGCCGCAAAATCCTGCGATGCGAGTAGAAATATAGTTATTTTTCAGTGCAACTCTCACGCCCGACTGTCCCTCCTTTCTTCCCTATAAAGCGACACACGACTTCTATAACAGTACAGTCACAGTAGCGCAACTCTTTCGATTTTGCGTGGCTAAAATGGAATGCGCATGCGCGAAATAAGCAAATTGCCCCGTCTCATTTCCTCCTTCTTTATTACACTCTTTCTATTTAAATGACTGTTTCAATGTTCCCTTTAAAGAGCTGAAATTTAGAGAGAAATATAACTTACATTGTCCATTTGATAGTGTTGTGTAAGAAATCTCAAGAGACTAGTCTCGTGAAAAAGTGAAGTGAAGTGAAGAAGTGAACGAAAATAAAGAAGAAAACCGAGCAAGAAAGCTTTTCTTTTTAAGAGAATAA